CTATTTATATAGCCTTCAAAAATGAACAAGAGATTAACTTCATACCTGTTAAAGATAGGTCATTTCCAGTCCCTAAAATTCATTTGCTTATCAAGCAATTTTTTTATCAGCACAAATATAGATCTTATAAGCAGGAAACTTAAGCTCATAAACAGTTATGAAAGCAATGTAGTTTTACTGAAACTACATTAACTCTAACCACAATAAGACTTCTTAATAAGGGTCCATCAATTCCCTCATATTCATGACTCACTGTCACTAGAAAAACCAGTTTGCATTCAGTTTACTCACTGCATATTATAAGAGCATCTTCGTACAGGTGGAAAGATGGTTTCAGCACAGGCAAAAGAAAGGTGATCTGGGTAATGAAAGTTGATAGGATGCTTCAGTCTGTGATTACAGAAAGAAACTGAGTAACATCATTCCCTTATAAAAGCCTGGAATACTTCAACTTATTTTACACTCCCCAAAAACACAGCCTCAAGATTTATCTCAAAACAAAACCTTAAAGCACCTGAATATGTTTATTAAAGGAATCCCTAGGCATACTGCATTATCATCTCAGTGTAACTCCAAATACAAGGAACTCAATTCAGCAAGTCAGCACTTGCAGAATGGTTACTACATAAAAACACTGGGTAAGATATAGTAGTAACCACAATACATACCTTATCTTCAAGAAGCTTACAATCTAGTGGGAGAATGGAACACATACACAAATAACTATGAGCCCTTCTCAACTGGGGGCACTCATCTGACTCACAGAAAACAGAAAATGACTTAAGCACTATTTTCTTAATTCTCTAAAGGATGATACATAAGCAGTATAATTCCAGATGCATATGATGGATGGCTTAGGGTGTGGCAGGAAGAAAGAATCAGAAGGCAGACAGGGTATGGAAGGCCATATGTCATGCTCCAAACTCTGTATTCTTTGCCAGGGAGCCCTCAAATATTTTTTAAGCACAGAAGTAACACAATCAAACATGTAAAATGCTATTCTAGCAATAGTACAGATGAAGGGAGATAACTGGAAGCAAGATGACTAACTATGAGATTACAGAAATATAATCTTACTCCTCAGGAGTAAGAATGTCCTGATCTACAACAGGATCAGTAAGAATGAAAAGGTGAATGAACAAGACTTGGTAAATGATAGGGTCAAGAATAGAAGTAGTTGTCTCCAAGACTTTCATCCAGGATGACTGGGAAAAAAGTGATACCACAAAACAACATTAGAAAAATAGTTATGATTTACAAGGAAATATGAATGGCTTCAGCTAAAAACAAAAACGTCAACTGCTTTTTTTCTGTGCCTTTTACTGTGTTAGATTAATTTTAGAATAAATATTTTTTATTGGTTACTAAGAACCATAAGTAAAGACCAGATCCCTACTTATATCCCTACATCACTTCTTCAGGATAAAATACTAAGGAAACCAGAAAAAATTCTAAGCAAGTTGATGTATTACAGATAAAGAATCCTACTACTTAACTGCCAGAACCAGCTAATTGACTAACCGTGAGAACAATGCCTCACAACAGACCAGTTCATTCACAAACCAGCCTTCAGCCAAATCTCTGAAGAAAAGTTTCCCTAAGAATGACAAATTTTATGTCATTGTCTAAAAGCATTTAAAAAATCTGGAGGAAGAATGTTCCAGAAATCCCTGGCAAGAATGTGAGATCTTTTCCTAACTGGTCTTAGATTAAACTTGGAACCATGGGAACATGAATATGGGGTGAAATACAGAAGTCGCTTTCAGACTTCAATTGTATATGTCTCTCCTACCCTTCAAAAAAAAAGTCTTGAACAACTAATAGGCATTGACAGTGTCAACTCAGAAGCATGGGAATTTTTATCTAAAACCCAAACACAGGTTTATACATCTTATTCTAAAATGTGCTTTAAAAACTTTATAATGGAAAACACATGAATATGCCCTTCTACATATCTATGACTTGTTTACTTCCCTTTTGTCCTATGTGAGACAATGTTAATGTGAGATGAGTTTACTGCTCATTTTAGTAGTCACACAAACTATTCAGTATCCAAAAAATAGGAAAATAAATTAGCCCGTAGAATGATTTTGAGATGGCAGGAATGTTTACCAAATTATCTGAAACACCAGAAGCATCTGCTTTCTGAAAAAAAGGGAAGCAGAACAGTGCAAACAGTAAGAGCAAAGCTTTAGTGTGAACAAGTATGTGGGTCTAATTCTGGTTCCGACACTTGTGAGCTTTGCTATGTCTCAATTTCTTTATCTATAAAATGGGATCATACTACATAAACAACCCTGTGAGGTAAAATAAAATCAGTGCTTTCTATACCAGGCTGGTCACCAGAATTACCTGGGAAGCTTTTTAAAAACATAATATTCCAGATCCCATTCTATACTTTCAGCAGTGTGATCTGAAAATTTGTATTTCTAACAAATTCCAAAGATAATCCTTATATATCAGTCCCACAATTTGGAAGTCATTGAAAAAACATATATGAATATACATACACTTTTTATATATTCCTACATAATTTATATCTTTATGCATAATATAACACAGCCCTAGTAAACTGTACATGTTCAATAAATGCTTGATGTAATTATCATTAACTATTATGGAGATAAAACTAAGTTTTTTTGTAACAAAATGGCCACTAAGTAGTCTTGTAGAAATAGTCTCATAGATCTTGCAGAACTATAGTTTGCATAAACCTTTCGACAAAAGTGAAACCTGAAGAATGAAGCCATACTGTTTCAGAGACAGTGAGAGAAGACAAAAATGAAGTTTCACATTGATCACAACACCCCTTTTTCACAACATAGTTTATGACAGAAGGAAAGCATAAAGTCAGGCCTGTCTTATATTTTTCATTACAAAGCTTGACTATGTAGGTCACTTCATCACAAAATCTTTAAATTCACTCCTTATTTTTCAGTAATTTATATAAATTCATGTGAATTCATGACAAAGCAATGTAAGTACTAAGTAAATGTGTACAATAACATTAACATAACAAATATCTAAAACCCACAGAGATGGATACTGATGAAAGATTCCTGGTTCTTATTTACAAATAACATCTTTCCTTTTAATTAGTTAATTAAAAGGATTAATTAAATTAATTAGTTAATTAAAAGGATTAATTAAATTAATTAATTTAATTAATTAGTATTTCTAAATAAAGTGGCCTCATATACAGGATATAAAACCCTTCAAAATAATGCCTTAACCACACTTTTGCATCAATATTGTATATAGATCAATGTTACCTATAAGGTTATATCAACTATTTAAAAATTCCTTCCATAAAAATTTATTTATAAATGTGGTTTCCAGCTTGTTTCCATCACATCACAGGTCTGGGATAAATTCATGAAATAATTACAGTACTGAATACTCTCTTTTCTAAATTTAGATACTAGAGTCAGGCACAGTGGCTCATGCCTGAAATCCTAGCACTCTGGGAGACCAAGGTGGGAGGATTGCTTGAGACCAGCCTTGTCAACATAGCAAGATTCTGTCTCTAAAAAAAATAGAAACTTTAGCTGAGCATGTGGTGAGCACCTGTAGCCCTAGCAACTCGGGAGGCTGACGCAGGAGGATCACTTGAGCCCAGGAGTTTGAAGTTGCAGTGAGCTATGATGACACCACTGCACTCTACCTCAGGCAATCAAGTGAGACTCTGTCTCAAAAAAAAATTAAATACTAAACCAAATTTTTAAAAAGTTACTACTGACAGAAGACAAAGTATATCCTGTGGCCATCTGGAGCAAACTACATATATTAGGCATTAAATTTTTTTATTTTACAAATGATTTTAATGAACTCAAACTTAGTTACTAATGTTTATAAGTTAAGATATTTAAGTTATAGAAAATAGTGTGTTTACCTAACTATTAAACATGGTTATTCTCCACATACACATCTTACAAAGATTATGGGAATCAATGATCTAAGGCTAACAGATTGCTTCAAGTACTGAGAAAGAAGTGTGTTATGTAAATAAAGCCCAAAGGAAAGGAGTTGTTTCAGTCATTAAATTATAGAACTTTACCATTTTCTTCAATCAAGTTTTAACCATGATCCTAAAAGTATTAGAAAAATAAAGTTCAACCAAGAGATCCAGAAGGCTGAGGTAATCTGATCTTAAGAGTTATAACACAGTAAAAACTAGAACTTAGTTATGTGCCAAGCAAGTATAACCAAAAGTTATCAGCTTTCCTAGGCCTGTTGAATAATATCTACTTCCATGAAAAGTCCTCTCGTACAGCACTGGACCAGCGGCAAGTGTCTACATGACGGAAAATGAGGAAAAGTTAATGAATTTCATCTGATTACCACCCACACTTATATTTCAGAAATATCTGGGATGGGGTGAATGTGAATCAAGAGCTTTAAAAAACTTTTATGTCTTCAATACATACTTGATACGTTGCAAACAAAAAAAAATGTGCTTGACCTACACCAAGAACACATGGAAAAAAAGATTGCTCTTCTGCTCCTCTTCCCTAAAACATTTTTATGGATATATCTTCCTGAAGCCTTTATCAAACCTCTTTCTCTACTTTCTTGATTACTTTCCTGAGTCCACTCCCATGGTTTAAAGGATGTTTTGACAAGTAATCTTGAGAAAGGTGCAGATATTTAGGAATGGAGGACAGGATGGAGGGTTATGATTTCAATTCTTCTCCATCATTAATTACTTCTTAAGAAGTAAAGCAGGTAATACATAAAAGTATCAGAATGGAAGTAAAACTCTCCAAAGAAGAATAGGAATGAAAATATCTCTCATTCTACTCTACCTTAACCCTTAACTGAGAAAAGTTTAAGACATAGCAAATTAGTAAGTTTGCAAAATAAGCTATAGTTCCCATGACAATAAACTCTCAAAAGTTAACTCCAAAGGAAACATATAACAAGCTAGTGGGTTTCACCACAGTACTATTTCTCAAAAATATAAAATTTAAAACAGTACAAAGTACAAGACAATAACTTACTTGAGTTGGAACAAGTACAGGAGGGTAGGCCATCTTGTGATGCCTGTACACCCAAAAAGCACAAATAACAATCCCCGCAATTAACATAAGTGGCACCAAGGAATAGAGCAGGATGTTGTAATAGGGTGGCTTAGGTGTAACTGGATTTGAAGTGGCTGTGGAAAAGAGGGGGGAAAATAACTCAGATTTGGTCTACAAAATTCTATAAAAAATATTTATCGTAGTGTCAAATTTTTGGAAAATATCAACACAAATATACTTTGTTTTCAATCTATTAGATCAGGGGTCCTCAAACTTTTTAAACAGGGGGCCAGTTCACTGTCCCTCAGACCGTTGGAGAGTGTGCACTGTGGGCCCGGGATGAGTTGGCTACTAAGCAAGACAGGCAGTGGAGGCAAAAACACCCGGAAGGGCCAGATAAATGTGCTAGGCACACGGGCTGTAGTTTGAGGATGCTTGTTTAGAAGAACAAACCTATGTATTTTTCCCTGTGAACTTACGCTGTGTGACTTCCATCTCCGGAAAATAAAAAAATTTTTCATTACACATATTGCCCTCACAGCAACAAAAATATACTTCAGGGCTGTCTTTTTTCTCTACACAATCAGTCCTATAAATAAACAAAGGAGGCACAATTAAAATCAATATTATTTTCCTGACCCTACAAAAGGCATTTTTCTTTTTAGAGATAAAATAATGAATGAGTCATTTATATTCAACTTCAAGATATTTATGAATATACAATGATTACATCTTAAAAGCCAAACACCATTCCTGGATTCCTATTACTAAATCTCATCAGAAAAAAAAAAAATCAACAACTGATTTTATAACAATCACACTGATTCTTTGAGACTAATGCTTTAATTTGGTTTTTAATTAGTAATCTATGGCAACCATCTTTTTTTTTTGTAATTATTAGAAACACTTGAAGAGGAACCTAAAGTCAATTTAGTCTAGGAGTATTTGTGTACTTTTGGTCACAGGAAATATAGTTTTCTCATTTTGTGAATACAAAAATGAGAAAAGTATGTATAAAACTCTGAGTGTGTGTATGCATATAGATACATACATATATACATACACACTAAATGATGCAAGCTTGTACTTCATGAGTAGAGCATATTTCAACATGAGACCCAAACTAGGCTTAAGAATATGTCATTTTTTATAATAGCATAGATTTAAACTCCCTGAATGCAATGAATAGGGTTGAGATAGGCAACAAGCAGAGAACAAATATGTAACAATAAACACATAAGACCTACTCACTCAACTGACTAGAATTTGGCTGATTTAAAAAAAAGAAAGAGAAAAAGAGAGACTTCTACGTAGGTCCTAAGTCATGCAGACATGAATTTAGCCTCTAGAGCAAATCCTAATCAACCAGTAAGAAACAGCTATACCTTTAAAAAAAATAAAAATTCAAACTTTTAAATACTGCTAATAAATGTCAGGTGAACTTAAAAGACATCTGAAAAATAAACTGAACTGCTGTGATAGCTATGAAAATAATAAGGTTATGTTAAGTGAAAAACTCAAGAAATTTCAGGGAAACAGTAGTTTTAACAAAATCAAACTTTAAAATATAATCTACAAAATCAAACTTTAAAATATAATCTATACCAATATCTAATTGGTAGAAGGTAAAAAGAAAAAATGAAAGCTAAGCTTTAACAATTTATAAAGAGAAATGTATAAATTTAAAAAAAATAATATTTAAAAGAATGCCTCAAATTATAGGAAATTAATATGATTAAATATTTAGCCTAATTAAGTCAAGAAAATTACTTTTCGTCATGTAGTTTCATTCTTCTATCATCGGCTTTTCTTCCATACTTCAATGAGTATGGAAGTATCTTGGATCTTTCTTCCCTTCTCTAAATTCTCTTACTATCCTATTTGTTTTTCAATCAAATTTCCAGAATAAATACAAAAATTCACATACTTTTAAATTAGTAGAAACAAAGACGGAATAGTAATTATTACTCTAAGAGCAAGCATTTGCACTAAACAACGTACTCCCCAGACTCCAGTAAAAATGGCTCAGTAAAAATTTCAGCACTGCCTTGAGGGTCACGCAAGTGAAATACTGGTTTTAGATAAAAAGTACAGTTTTTACTACAAAAAAGAATAGGAATTCCTGATTTCAACTAATTATTAAGAGAGTTTTGAATCAAGATGATCCCCAAACCTCATTTCTCTTTCCAATATCTTCCTATTTGCCTTTCATAACAGCATATATCACCTGACCACTTCTGTTGGTAGAGAGGCTAACAATCAGAAATGCAGCTAAGATGTATAAGTATAGTGAAGTAGTCCCTGAAAAATTCAGACTTAGAAGTATACCCTAACCACTAAATGTATATTTAAATGACTCTTAGTTTCATGAAAAGTAGAGCTAATTCAATTTTCAAGGACTTATTCAATGTATTTTGCTATTAGTCACATACGGCTAATCAATGACAGATTCTAGATAATCAGTTGAGGCTCCTGAAAGTGGATCTGGAAGCATCTAGTGTTCGGTGTATATAGCACCATTTTTGGCTCCAAATATCTGGTTATCTAAGACTTTGCAGGCTATGCCAGTCTTTAGCACCCACCCACCCACGGTAGGAATCCTCTAGCTCAAACTAAGCCATTAGCCCAAAATCTATGGGACTCTTTACAGAAAGATCATAGGCAGTTAATAACATGATCACTATATTTTATTTCAAGTACAGAATGAAACAATTTAAACAAGATCTTTTACATAAAATGTAGCTTTCTATGAGGACTGTGTTAGTTCTGAGAGAATTCTGAACATGAAGTTAAAATGTCTCTTGGGGTAAAGAACAAAGGCCTCTACAAGAAAAAAAAAAAAAGAAAAAATGTAGTAAGATCAATTTCTTCCAGATACATAAAAAAAGAAATGGAAAGAAAATTAAATACTACGATTAAGCTTTATTCTCCTTGAGGATAAATTTTTCAACAGATATATTTTCTTTTAAAGCTATTTTCAAAATCCTTTTTCTTTTATATTGGCATTAAAAAGGTTTATAATCCTAACAACATGGGGAAGGAAATGGTTCTTACCTAAGAGTTCTTACTATTCGATAAATTATTCAAAATATAGCAAAGATAAAACGTAAACATGCCAAATGTATTTTATTACTTTAAAATTCATATCTTGTCATTACAGCATGTTATAATGTTCTTCATAATCCCATCTTTAAAAAAGCAAGAAACATTAAAGAGAAAATTCATGCATTCATCTTTCCCCTTTTAAAAATTGGGGAAGGATGAAAATTATTCAAACTATCATAAAAAATAAAATATATCCTTACCTGTCATAGCAGTTGATATCATCTAGCCAACAACCTTGTTTCACTATTTCAATGGAACCAGAAATATTCTTCCAGGTAGCAAAACAATGCCGCCGTTTATCTTTGTCACCGTAACAGGGTTCAACACCAGTCTGATTGCTTTTGTCTTTTTCCCAATTAGCATTAAAGAAAAGACACTCCTGAGTTTCTGATCTACCAAGTATAGCACCTGTAAGATAATAAAAACAACAATTTACTATAACTGTATTAGCTCTTAAAATAACAGGCTGTCTTCCAAGATATTAACTTCAGGTGTTCCTGAAATGTCAATAATTTACTGTCTTCCCAGTGTTATAACTTTTGGTTTTAATTACCAAGTCAATCCTTGTACTTTAAGTATAAACATAAACATAATAATAGGAAATGACCACGTATATCACAAGATTTCTCTGGATAACAATATTTTCACTTCACTTAAGAACATCCTTGATGAAAAGCAGCAAAAATTGTTAATTTTATTAAATCTCAACCCTTGAGAAGACTACTTTTTAATATTTTGTTTGACAAAATAAGAAGTAAACAAATGTAATTCTGCTGCCTAGTGAAGTACAGTTGACCCTTCAACAACTCAAAGGTAAGGGGCACCAACCTCCCATATGGTTGAAAATTGATGGATAACTTATGACTCACCCAAAACTTAATTACTAATAGCCTACTGTTGACTGGAAGCCTTACCAATAACATACATAAATAGTCGATAAACATATATTGTGTAGGTTGAAAGTATTATATATTGTATTCTCACACTAAAGCAAGCTAGAAGAGAAATACAAAAATCATAAGGAAGAGAAAATACATTTACAGTACCGTATTTATCAATACTGTAAGTTTACATCATCTGTTTACAAGATGAATTGTCCAAAATGCCGGCAACCACTGCTGCAGATCTCAATGTACGGTAAGTATCAATTAATTTAACTTTTTCATGTAATGGCATGACTTTTCTCTACTTTTTAGGAGTACTTCCTGCATCACTAGTGGCATTTTGTGTGAGTCCCCTGGTGTTGTTATTCAAGGTTTATGGTTTTGCCCTTAACGGGATGAAAATACACAAGAACTGCAAGAGAGCACTTTTTACTGCCATATGCAATTTATCGGAGAGATGCACTGCTCACCTGGAAATGATTAGTGTCAAATGGTGTTTTAAGAAATACAACATTTGAGCTCACCAAAACAGCAACAGGAGGTGGCTATGAAATTATTACAGGACAGTATGTACTACAGTTAATTTTATGCAGTTATGATTTAATGTGGCATCTTTACGTTTGTTTACATTTCTCTCAACTGTGAATGGTATCATGTATAGTCTGTGTGTATGCATAAGTTTTGACAAATTTAACTTTTATAATAGATTTGTGTATATATTATGGTGGAAAATGATAAAATAGACAGGTATCTATATATATATTGTATGGATGCATGACACAATCTAACTTTTTCTTAATTTTTATTGATATTTCTAGACTTCATCTGTGAGTTTTTTCAAATTGTTGCAAATCTCCAAAAATTTTTCCAATACATTTATCAAAAAAATCCACGTACAAGTGGACCCATGCAGTTCAAACCTTGGCTGTTAAAAGTTCAACTGTATAATGGCTGCCACAAGAAAAAGCCCTTGGATGAGAGTTCTATAAACTCAACAAGCTATGGCTATTCGGATTTGAGAATCTGGCAGACATGTTTTCAAAAGTGAGCCAAATAAACCTATTCCTTTAAGAAAAGCAACTGACAGTAAGCACTACCAATGATAAAATTTAAGTTTTCAAGCAAAAATAAAAATTTGGGAAAATTTGTACCTAATGCCCTTAGCATGACACCTTCCCAATACAGAATCTTCTGATGAGATCAGTGGTGATATTAACAAATGTGACTTTTTAATATAGAATAATGAAATGTGCCAATATTTAGAAGGTCTACATAATTCAGAGAACCAGTGTTTTCCAAATGAACTATGTGTGATGTTACCAAAGCATTCATGGATAAAAATCCATTCCATGTGCATGACAGATCAATAGATTTTAATGTTACAATGGACAAAACGTTCATTAATGGTTTCAGATTCCCCACTGCAACTAGCCTTTAAGAAATTATGCCTTATCTTATCTAGAAAAACAAGGTAACTGGAATACCCAAAATAATTCTGAAAATGAAGTACAAAAGAGAATTCTTACTTCCTAATTTTAAGACTTACCATACAACTTCAGCAATAAATAAGGCCACAGTGTGGTCTTAATGAAAAGACAGACACATGCGTCAAGGGGACAGAACAGAGAACCCAGAAATAAATCCACACATATTGGGTCAGAAAAAGATGCCAAGGCAATTCAATAGAAAAAAGATAGTCTGCAACAATAGATGCTGGAAAAATTGAACATCCATATGACCACTCCCCCCCTCCAAAAAAACCCCACAACCTCAACCCACATCTCACATCATATACAAAAATTCTAAATATATCATAGACCTAAAAATACCTAAAACCATTAAACTTCTAAAAGAAAACAGGAAAATCTTTGTGACCTTGACTTATGAAAGAGTTCTTAGAACACAAAACACATGAACTACAAAAGAATTAATAAATAGAACCTCATAAAAATTTCAACTCTTTGAAAGTTAAGGGAGAAAAAAAAAGAAAAAGTCATAGACTGTGAAAAAAAATACCTGCAAAACACTTTCTAAAAATGGACTGATATTTAGAATATATAAAGACCTCTCACAACTCAAACATAAGAAAACACACACTGTCCAATTATAAGCAGAGATATGAATGGAAAAATTCTACATGAAAACCTACTCAACATTATCAATCGTTAGGGAAATGCAAACTAAAACCACAATGAAATACGTATTAGAATGAGTAAAACAAAACAAAAACAAATAAACAAAAAACAGACAATATCAAGTGTTGCTTAATATGTGGGCAACTGGGACTTTCACACATTGGTGGTGTTAACGTAAAATGGTCCAGCCACTTTTGAAAACAGTTTTGCAGCATCCTATTGAAAACATTTGTGCACACAAGAATCTGTATGTGACTGTTTAGGAGTGGCTTCATTTCTAACATCCCAAAACTGAAAATGACCCATCTCCATCTCTGGTAAATGGAGAAGCAAACATTCCTACAATAAAAAGGAATGGACTGGTGATAGCTGCAACAACATGGATGGATCTCAAACACTATGCCAAGTGGAAAGGAGAGAGACTAAAAAGACTGCCCTGTATGATTCCTTTTATACAATATTCAGGAAAAGGCAAAATTATAGGGGCAAAAATCAGCTCAGAGATTGTCAAAATCTGGAAGTGAGGAGAAAGGATTTGATTACAAAAGGGCATGAGGAAACTGTGGGATTACAGAAATGTTCTACAGCTTGACAGTGGTGATGTTATATATGTATGGGTCATACATTCTAATCAAAACTCATAGAACTGTTACATCTAAAAAATACATTTTATTCTATATAAATTATACTTTGATAAACTTGAAGTTAACAAAAGGATTATAAAAGAACCTACCACTTGCTGAATTAGAGTATGGTATCAAAGAAAAATGTCTACAACTATCTACAAAAATTATTAAAATACTATTCCTTTTGATTTTTATTTTTTTTATTTTTTAAGACATCAAGTTTCAAAACCTTTTGATTTTTTTATACTTTAATCAAAATAACATACCACAAATTGAAGAAATAGATACAAGAATTCAGTTTTCTTCTACTAATACCATCATTAAAGAGATCTGCAAATATTTCACTTTTTGTTCTGTTAAATATTTTCATAAAAATCATTCTTTTACTAACATAATGGATTTATTATTGCTATTTTTAAACAAATATTTAGAAATTTTGTCTTAATATTATGATAAATATTGATAGATATAACTCACATAAATAAAAATTTCTTTGGGCTCTAAAGAAGTCTTGAGAGCAAAAAGTTTGAGAATAGCTACTCTACAATGTACTAGTACAGAGATGGAATTATAAGTTGCTACTATCTGTGGGCAATAATGTTGCTATGAACTTCCTCTCAACTATGGAAGAAATAATTGCATGAACTGACATATTACAAACTATGCTGGTAACTCCATCTCAACAGTATTCTATAAAAGGTCTGTTACTACTACTTATCTATATACAAACAGTAGCCATTTTCTAAATTATTATTTTTCAAAAACTTGTTGAAAATATAAGCAAACTAAGTTTTCTCTTTTACCAAATAATCGAAAAACACTAACTCACTGCCCATACTGTTATCTTAAAATAGGGATGGCAAACTTTTTATGAAAAAATCCAGACAATAAATATTTTAGGCTCTACAGGTCACACGGTCTGTTGCAACTACTCAACTCTGCCCTTATAGCACAAAAGCATCCACAGACAGTAAATGAATGAGCATGGTTACGTTCCAACAAAACTTTACTTATATAGACACTGAAAACTGAATTTAATGTAGTTTTTACATTTCACACAATATTCTTTTGTTGGTTTTCTTTTCAACCACCTAAAAAATATAAAAGTCTTTCTTAGCTCTGAGCCGGATTTGGCCCATAGGTTGTAAAGTCTGCCATGTCCTATCTTAACATCCTAATTCCAATAGTCTGGCTAACCTGCCTTTTGTTTGTTTTGTGTTGTGGTGTAAGGGAGTCCCGTGAATTATCACCCATTTAATTTATGTTAAAAAAAAAACCCCTATGTAATTATTTCCAATTTCCAAAAGAAAAATCCACTGAGGCTTAGAAATATCCCTTAAACTAAACTGACAAAAAAAATTAAACACTGCCTAGAACAGAAGTGCCAAATAGGTTTCACCTTTGGTGTCAATTCCAATCAATGAATAGTGGCTGCCTGGAGCACCACTGTACTCAGAAGGATTTTGAGGATTTTTTTAGAGAGGATTTTATAGTATGGAAGGGGAGGGGGGAACATTAGTGTCTTATATTTGCCCTTCCTAGTCTAGATAAAAAATAAACTAATGGTCATTTATTAAAAGGTTATTTCCACCATTGATTTTTTAAATGTAAAAATGATTTCTGGATGATTTTCTAGATCTAGACCAGGGGTCCTCAAACTTTTTAAACAAGGGGCCAGTTCACTGTCCCTCAGACTGTTGGAGGGCCGGACTATAGTTTAAAAAAAACTATGAATAAATTCCTATGCACACTGCACATATCTT